ATTACCGTTTGGTGAGTCAACTTTAACTAGTAGTGGTCCTCTTGATCTTATTTATACTAATGTTTGGGGTCCTTCTCCCAGTCCTTCTGTCGATGGTTTCTTTTATTACGTTATCTTTGTCGATCACTATACCAAGTATATTTGGTTTTACCCGTTGTGTCTTAAATCCGATGTTTTTTTCTAATTTTCGCAAATATAAAATGCTTGTTGAAAAATATTTCAAACGGAGTATTTCCACCATCTATTCTGATGGGGGTGGTGAATATACAGCGTTGAAATCCTTTTTATCCAATGAAGGAATTCAACACTAAAAAACACCACCTCACACTCCTCAACATAATGGTATAGCTGAACGTCGTCATACATATTGTTCAGACGTGCCTCACTCTCCTCCACCAAGCCAAAATGCCACATAAATATTGGTCATATGCCTTCCAAACAGCAGTTTACCTCAATAATCGGCTCCCTACACCTATTCTTAATTTATCCACACCATATGAAAAATTATTCTCACATAAGCCAAATTATAATAAGTTGAAGGTCTTTGGTTGTCTGTGTTTCCCTTGGCTAAAACCATATACCTCGAACAAACTAGAGCCGACCTCCACTCTGTGCTCGTTTATCGGCTACTCCCTTAATCAAAGTGCCTATTATTGCCTAGATATGAAAAGCAATAAAATTTACACCTCTCGTCATGTTCGATTTATTGAGTCTGAATTCCCTTTCTCCACTTATGTCTCTTCTACTCAAATATTTCCCTCGGTCTCCAGCCCCTGGCCATCTTTTATCGCACCAACTCTGCTGGTACAGCCAGCTACAACTGACATTGATTCTCATTCACTCATAGATGTCATGCCAACTCTCTCCGTGAGCTCAGGTACTTCTACCTCTTCCTCTTTACAGCAACATCATTATCCCTCACCACCCCTTGACCCGCCTACTACATCCACATCTCATCCCATGATTACACGATCTAAAAATAACATATTCAAACCAAAACGTATTCTTCAAACTTCTACCAGACACCCGCTTCCGGATTCCATTGAACCCACATGTCTGACCAAAGCAATGAAGCAAGTTGAGTGGCGGCAGGCCATGTCGGATGAGTTGAATGCTCTCATTCGCAATGGGACGTGGGGGCTTGTCCCTCCATCTACGTCTCAGAATGTTGTCGGTTGCAAATGGGTTTTTCGCATCAAACGCAATCCGGACGGCTCTATCTCTAAATATAAAGCTCGTCTTGTGGCTTCGCCGGGCGGTGCTTGTGTGGGGGATGCGTAAGGGATATCATCAACGTCCGGGTCTTGATTTTCATGAGACGTTCAGCCCTGTTGTCAAGCCCACGACAATTCGAGTTATTATTTCAATAGCATTATCCAATAGCTGGCCACTTCGCCAACTAGATGTCAATAATGCTTTTCTCCACGGGACATTATCTGAGGACGTTTATATGCAGCAACCCCCGGGGTATTTTGATAAATCTAATCCGAATTTTGTGTGCAAATTGCGCAAATCCATATACGGTCTCAAGCAAGCTCCGAGTGCATGGTATAATGAGTTGAAAGGTTTTTTGCTCTCGTGTGGGTTTCATAATTCTCACAGTGATGCGTCTTTCTTTATTTTTCACAAGGAATCTATTACTTGTTTTTTCCTCGTCTATATTGATGATCTGATAGTGATAGGCAATTGCAACAAATTTTTACACACTTTTCTCTCAGCTATGGGTGCTCGGTTCTCTATTAAAGACCTTGGGGATCTTCAATTTTTTCTCGGCATTGAAGTAATACCAACTCCCTCGGGACTTCTTCTTACTCAACACAAATATATTCACGATCTCCTTGAGAGAAATGACATGGCTGGTGCTAAAGCTTGCACAACACCCATGTCATCGAACCAACCACTTCATCTTCATGATGGATATCCTGCTGCTGATGCTACCAAGTACAGACAAGTCATTGGTGCTCTTCAATATCTATCTCTTACGAGGCCCGACATATCATATGCGGTGAACAAGTTGGCGCAATTTATGCACTCTCCATCCGAAGCTCATTGGACAGCAACCAAAAGACTCTTGCGCTACCTTAAGTTCACCATCCATCATGGTCTCTTTCTCAAAAAGAATCAGCCACTAGCTTTAACCGCCTTCACCAATGCTGATTGGGCCGGCAACCGTGATGATCGTACATCAACTTCAGCCTACATTGTTTATTTAGGTGGAAATGTGATCTCATGGTGCTCCAAAAAGCAAAAAATGGTTGCTCGATCGTCTACGGAAGCGGAATACCGAACTCTTGCCTCATGTGCTGCTGAAATACTCTGGCTGAAAAATCTGCTATTGGAAGTTCATGTCACACCTACCTCAGTCTCGACGATCTTTTGCGACAATATCGGAGCAACCTATCTCTCCGTCAACCCGGTGTTTCACTCACGTATGAAACATATTGCTATTGACTATCACTTTGTACGTAATCACGTTACCAAAGGGTCCTTTGCAGTATCTCACATTGCTTCCAAAGACCAGCTCACGGATGCTCTCACAAAGCCGTTGTCATCCTCTCTCTTTGCTCACATTTGGTACAAGATCGGTATCTCCAATGGGAGCACCGTCTTGCGGGGGCGTGTTAGAGATTATCCCACAACAAACTCTTCAGTGGTTGACAATATGAAAAACTCTAATCCTAAAATCTCTCCAACCTAAACAACTCAAACTTATCTTCTCTAACTTCTAGTCCAAGTATTAATCCTTTGTATTTGTATATATATAGGAGACACACGGTGTAATCAATGTATTAATGAAATCTTTTTCTATACACCTTTATTATTCTTCAAAGACCCCTATATTAATTACAATGAAAGCCTAATCCGTGTCTCGTGTTAACAAACATATATTAATTAAAACGGCAAACATATTTTTTTTCCTCTTCACGTCGTGTTAAGATGTAATATTTTAATAAGCATATATGGTAGTACCCCATTTGAGATGCAAAGGACAGAAGCTTTACCCAAAAAGATGCTTTATGTCAACCATTAACTTGAGATTCTACACATTTTTCACTAATTATGCCCAATTGCATATCATATGTATTCTCCTCGTATGATTTTCCAAGTTCTGAATACTCACTCGATCCTTAAACTACCATAAAGGTAAGTACTGAATGTTTTATACATTAGCATTTGAGAGCAATTGTTTTTTTTTTTTGGTTAGATACACCGACAGCAAATGATATAAAGAAAAAAGGAAAAATAAAAAAAAGAAAGGCAAATACAATTTTGCCCCTGTTAATCTCACATGAATGGCACGTGCACAACATTCCGGTGAAAATTACCTGAAAATACTACTTTTAGGGTACCGTGCAACAAAAAATCGAGTTTAGGTAAAAACGTGCAAAAAAAAATTGTTAGGGGGGTAAAGCGCAAAACGGGTCTTAGTTTAGGGGGTAAACTGCTTTTTACTCAATGATATATGATATTTAATGTACTAGCTTAATTTCCAAGTTTCGTCATTTCATGAAGATTGAAATTATTTTGACTGTATATCGTATTTTGATTTGTTATTTAGTTAGCACGCATTTTAGCAATTGCTTTTGTTGGACACATATGCAGTATTAAGAATTGCATGTTCTAGGGGAATTGGAAAAACGTATGTGATCTAGTTTCTTCCGCCACCATAAACACTAGGAATTCCAAGTGAACTGTATAAAATACCCATGTGTAATTTGCAAATAGTGAAAATTTCCCTGTGAAATTTAGTTAAAGGCAAAAACCATCTTATTGACTTTCGTATGGCTCCCTCGCTGTGTGTGCGGCTAGCAACTGATTTTTACACGTAAAATGACGAAATTGTCCCTAAAAAAATATGTTTATATATATATATATATATATATATATATATATATATATTGGTTAACGCAATCTTATTGATTAGTTTTATTTTAAGGGGTTAAATTTTAAAAAAAATCATTTTTTCACTAATTTTTCAGACGTACTTTCCAACAAAGAAAAGAGGTTACCGTTTATACTCCGCATCATTTCATCATTATATCTTACGACAACTTTGGCGCTAGCAATATCTACTTGGTCCAAGCCTAGTTGCCCACAAAAGTGTGGAAACGTGACAATTCCATATCCCTTCGGCATTGGTTCTCCATGCAGTGCAAATTCCTCTTTCACAGTCATCTGTCGAAATTCCACGAATCCTCCAACACCGTTATTGAGCATCATGTTAAGTATTGAGCCCAATAGAAATGATCTGTTGTGATCTGGGCCACTAGCTTTATTAGTTCAAAGCCCAACTTGTGAAATCGGGCCCAATATTACATAAGGCCACTGATCCAGTCAAACTTAGATCTGAACCGTCTATTCTAGGGCTTCAATCTGAGCCCTCCATTTGACCCTTTCCTCTTACCACTCTCAACCCTAGCAGCATTCTTCTGCTGCGCCGTTTCCTCTCTCTTCTCCTGTCCCCTTCTCTCTCTACAGTGTTTCGTCACCCCTTGTCGTTTTCCGGCAACACCGTCGCAGGTCTTGCCGGACAATGGGTGTCCTTGCCGTCGCAACATATTTAATGCTGAAGATCGTTGAAACTATGTGTATTTATACTGTGGTGAGAGAGAGAGAGACAGGTGTGATTCACCTTTTATTCAAACCTTATCTTTTCTGGCCTTAATCCTCTTCTGTGAGGATTTTGGTGTTGAGTGTGCAGAAATCTGGGTTTGTGCTGAGTGGAGAGGGTGAGTTATCACCGAGTTGACTGTGCATGTGTTGGTGAGTCAACTCGGAGTGAGGTTTGGGGTCAGATCTAGGGTTCCGATCAGTGGCTGTAGCTTGGTGCTTGTTTTCAGTTGGTGTTACCACCAGACCTTGGATAAATCGGATGAACACTGGAAAAGGGAACTGAGCCGTTCTTATTCAATAACATTTTTAATTCTCATTTTAAGTTGTTTCAATTGTTTTCTCGGATTCATGGCTGTATTGGAAAGAACCTGTTCCTAACACATCATAAATTTGGAAGCACTAAATTTTTTTGTGCATGGTACAGTCACAATAAAGAATCCAGTTACACCAATGAAATGCTCCAGCATGCAAGAAACTCATTATTTGGTAAAACCACTCGAAAAAAGTCCATTTACCATCTCAAGGCAATACAACTCATTGGTTGTTTTGGGCTGTTAGAATTCTGTCTGGCTGCGTGCTAATGCTACAGCTACAATCGGCGGATGCATGGCCATCTGTGATGGTAATTCTACAGACAACAGTTGGAATGGTGTCAACTGCTGCCAGACAAAAATCCCACCTCGGATCCAGGAGCTTAAATATACTTATCAAGGCATTCAAGCCAATATTATTAATAGCACCTGTGGATACGCCTTTCCTATCGAAAAGAAATGGTTCCAAGAGGACTACAAAAGTTACAAGGGCCTTTAGAATAATCTGTCGAATCCATTTGACCAAGAATTTGAATATGCACCATTAGTACTTGAGTGGGAACTTGATAATCACGAGTTTTCTCCTCATACTTCTTGCACATATTCCAAGAGAAGCTCCTATCGATCATCAATTTCTGGTGAAAATTACATATCTTCACTTAAATATTGCTCTTGCGGCTATGGGTATGAAGGGAACCCTTATATACTCGAAGGATGCACTGATATAGATGAATGTACAAATGCATCACTGAATCACTGCATAAATGGAACTTGTATCAACTTAATAGGGAGTTACACATGTCAATTTGACTATAATCGAAATGGCGGTGGTAGATCTCAATTCAAATTAGCATCCCTCAGCAGCCTTGCTAGTGTGCTTGGTGCACTAATTTTGCTCATTGGAGCATGAAGGACCATGGAAGTTATCAGAAAAATCATTGAGTCTAACCGTAAACACAAGTTTTTTAAGCGAAATGGAGGTTTGTTGTTGAAACAACAGTTGTCTTACAATAACAATGGCCTATTGAAAACCAACTTGTTTAGTTCCAAGGAGTTAACGCAAGCTACAGATCATTACAACGAAAATCGAGTGCTAGGTCGTGGTGGCCAAGGTACCGTCTACAAAGGAATGTTGACAGATGGAAGTATTGTTGCAGTAAAGAAGTCCAAAAGAGTAGATGATCGTAATCTTGAATTCTTCATCAACGAGGTTGTTATTCTATCCCAGATAAACCACAAAAATGTGGTCAAACTTTTGGGATGCAGTTTGGAGATGGAAGTTCCTCTTCTCGTCTACGAGTTCATTCCCAATGGTACACTTTTCCAACATATCCACAATCCAAATGAGGAGTTCCTGTTATCTTGGAAAATGCGTGTCCGAGTAGCCAGAGATGTAGCAGGAGCACTTTCTTACTTGCACTCTGCTTCAACTGCACCTATTTACCATCGAGATATCAAGTCGAAAAATATACTACTGGATGATAAATATCGGGCCAAAGTTGCTGATTTTGGGATATCAAGATCAATTGGTATAGATGAGACACACTTGACCACAAGAGTCATAGGGACCTCCGGTTATTTGGATCCAGAGTACTTCCGATCAGGTCATTTTGCAGAGAAGAGTGATGTCTACAGTTTTGGTATCGTTTTGATTGAGCTTTTAACGGAGGAGAAACCCATCTCATCACCTAGATCAATGGGAATGAGTTTAGCTACACATTTCTTGAACTGTATGGAGGATAATCGTTTATCTGACATTCTTGATGCAAGGGTTCTCATGGAGGGCACGCGAGAGGAAATTGTAGCTGTTGCTGAACTTGGTAGAATATGTCTGCATATGAATGGAAAGAAAAGGCCGACTATAAAGGAAGTTGCGTTAGAGTTGGAAGGAATTCAAATGCTCAAACAAGGTTCAGTTTTCCTGCAAACTTTGACTTCATGAGTGATGAGGTCAGATCGTCCCAATCAAGAAATACAATTAATAATATCGGACGTACCTCTTTTCAATGCATGTATAATGATTCGATTCCACATCAATTGACATGTTACGTCGCGTTTATGTTATCACCACTTTCAAATAGCAATGTTCTCCTGCAAAACACTGGCGTTGCCACTCGGACGATTAAATCATTAACGAATCAAAGAGATAACATGAGAACAATTTTTTTTTGTGTGCGTGTGGATTTCTCACATTGTAAAATTTACCTTTTGGTGGAGAAATAAAGTTGTATTTGTATATTTCAAATCTGAAAGTCTTTAATGGAAATTGATCAAGTTTCCAAAATTTATCATAAATTTGATTCGTTGGTTTTGGTGCTCAGATAGGCTCGTGATCCCCAATTTGAGACCCGAAGCTATTTGGCGGTTTGCTAACCGCCAAATAGAAGTTCAAAATCGACCAATATTATAGAATGGTCAACAAAATAAAATAGAATTTTGGAAATTCGAAGACCATAATTGGTGCAGAGACATCCCTAGGATTTTCACCCTAGAGATATCGATGCATATTTAGAATGCTGGCGTCCTGAACAACCCCTGATAGGTTGTCTTTAGTCCAACGGACAAAGCCCATCAATTCGAGTTTCTAAGCCGAAGTTTTTTTTTCACAAAATGGTAAATCTTCCGAGAAATCCAAATAATTAAATTTGAAGTTCAAGAAATCATGGATATGAGAAAATTAAGCTTACAAGAATAAATCAGTGTTCGAAAAGATAAATCTAATCAATAGCATGCTCATTTGACAAGTCCAATTCGATAAATACGATCTTTTTGAGAAATCCATTTCAATGAACCATATAGAGATGGCCCGACTCCCAAAATACGAGTTTATTCGAGAAATACGATCGATTAATAGCCATCATTTTGGAGAAAATCTGAGCGTCAAAGGATAAATATAACCAACTCCAAAAGCTAAATATATGCTACTAAAAATATCGAACTTTGAGAAATCCGACCTCAATAAATCGTATAAGCAAATTTAAGCTTCAGAAAAATTCAAGTTTTGTGAAATCCGGTTTGATTGATGAACTAATTGGTATTATCAACCCCGACAACGAATCTAATCCTCACTTACTATATTAATAAACAAAAGAATTCAAGCTTATTGTTGATAATATATTTTAGATTATACTTATTTTTAATTAAAATAATTTGAAATGCTTAATTTTTATTATTGATATTTACAAAATAAATAAAAAATCGGGGCGCTGGCCCTTATCCCGTAACGTCACAATTCATCTTGAGCTAGAAGTGTAAAGAGATATTTAGAGAAAAATACAGTTTCCGCCCCTCAAGTTTGCACCAATTTCACATTTGGTCCCTAATGTTCACAAAAAATGCACTTGCTCCCTCATGTCCCTAAAATTAACACTTTTAGTCATTTTGTCAATTTTCCGTTAGTCCTAAGGGAATCAAGCGTGTGACCATCACTGCCTTAACTGACGGAATAAATATAAATTGACGAAAATTGAAAAAATTTATGGTCCCGAATTCGTATTATACAGAGATGTTATCTGAAATGTTGTAACACTTGAGACAACATGCAGCGGAAATATAAAGATTAAAAGACAGTACTCAGAATTAAAAATGTTCACAAGTAAAGACTTGTGAACTTGCCCTTTACAGGACGGAAAAATATATTAAAAACAGTATTCTAAGAATACAAACAGAAGAGTGCGAAAACTTCTTCCTTATGAATGAATCTTTTTCAAGATCACTCTTACAACCAAATCTAGATACTAAAAGAAAAATATTAAAAATTCTAGATTTCAAAAAATGTACTCATAAAGAGTACGTACAACAGATCCTAGAAAACACACTAAAATTCTCGAGATTAAAACTTCAGCTCTATTTTTGTTTCCTCGAAATCCGTACAATTCTTGAGTCTTGAGTTTGGTATTTATAGACTTGCCAAGCTTCCACTCCTCAGCCCATGATCTGCAAGAAAACCAACCACAAGAGCACTCAAGATAATGGGTTAGTGGGTTAGTTAGGAAGTTAAGATAAATTCCATAATTAAATCCACTAAGCACTACTTAACCCTACTTAGCCCACTAACTACGATTTAGTTTAGAGTTTAAGAAAAGTTAAAAACACATTATGAAATTAATTCACGTGTTTCAAACTCCCCCTTTTTAACTTTCTGATCAAAACTAAATCGTAGTCAAAGACTCCCCCTGAGATATTGCTTGAACTCCCCCTGAATTTGATACCATTTGAAAAAACATAGAAACAATAAATTAAAACCAAATTCAGCAAGATAGTCCAACAAAAGAAATAACCAAAGTGCAGTCCTAAACAAAAGTTCAGAGGGAAAATAAACAAAACACAATAAAAATATTGTTCATGAAAACAATCTAAAGTAAAATATCCAGAGTCTCCAAGGTCTCCTCAGTATCAGCTGCTGCTCCTCCTCCATCACTAGATCCACTGCTTTCTTCTTGAGCTTCACCCTCTTTCTTTGCTTCTTCATTGACTCCTTGCTCTCTGCCTCTAGCATCCAAAGGGTGAGATGTTCCTGCTTCAGTTTCATGATCTTTTTCTCCCCCTTTTTGATCAGAAAGAGCCTTCTGGATCATCTCCACCATGGACTGATGATAGGAAATCTGAGCTAGAGAATGAGTAAGCTGCTGCAATAGAAGATCTCTAGGAACAGACACAAGAAGGTTAGAAGTGTTGTCAACATGAGGTGCAACACCCTCAGTACCAATGTTATTTTGACCTGATTCAGTTGAGAGAAAATTATCTCCATTCCAGGGAAGATCTTGAACATGAGGAGCTCTCAGAAAATTTTGGGAAACAGTGATCATGCCTTGTGGAGTGTGAAGATATTCTGAGTCATCTTGGCCCAAGTTTTGAGAGAGTAAGATGGAATAGATGAGAGAAGGATAGGGGAGGTGAGTGGAGGGTGAAATTTTCTGGGCAAGATGACCAATAGTATCAAAGAACAGTTTGCCAAAATCCACTGGTAAACCCATCCCCAATTTGTACATGAGTACAGCATGAGGCTTAGTTACCACAGAGACATTTTTGGATGGAATCCAATTAGTCACTGTGAGTCTAAACAGGACAGAGTAGAAAGCAGTGAGTTGAGACACTTGGAATTTTCTTGGGTGTGCAGGCCAATTTTTTAAACGGTTTCCAGAAATAACTTTGCAAATCTCAGTAAAATCACCATAATTATCCTCATCAATCACAGTAGGAGTTTGTAAATGAGAGTTGATAATTTTGGGAGAAAAAGAAAAAATGGCATTGCGCACAAAAACTTTGCCAAAGTTTGGAGAGTTTTTCTTTAAAAAGGAGGTTTGCAAATTTGCATAAAATTCCTTCACAACCAAGGGATCATAAGAGCAGGCAATCTCAACTAGGTTAAGGATTTTTCTTTGGTGAAGAAATGCAGTTATCCTATGCCTATCAAATTCTTCCTTAGAAATTTTCTTTTCCTCAATGAATTGACAATTCATGACTTGAGGACTCAACAGTGAATCAGATTCAAAATAAAATTGAGGACTGAAGGCATTGGTTACCTCAAAAGGGTTTGACAAATTCTTCCCATCCAAGTCTGGTTCTTCTTCTTCTGAGGAATCATCATCTTCTGAATCTTCAAGCTCATCAGGGACATATGCTGGTTCAGGTGATGCAGCAGGTGGGGCAACACCTTCTTCCTGCTGAGAAGGGTCTTCAGAGGATTCACTGTCAGAATCAGAAGAGGACAAGTTTTTGCGAAAAGTAGCTAGTGGAACCTCCCAACTGTCTTCACTTTTCTCTGATTCTTCAGCCTGAGGAGGAGATGTATCTGCTTGAACTGCTGCTTCTGCCAAGGTTTCCAGAGGGTCAGCAAGAGGTACTGATGGAGTTTCTTCAGTAGTGGTGAACTCCTGAGCATCAACTGTGGGAATGTCAACATGCTCTGCAGAAGACATTCCAGAGTAATCAGGCATTTCTTCATCCTGATAGGGAGCAGCACTTTCAGCAGCATTCTAAGGAACATTTGTTGAAGCAGTGGGTGCAGCAGCATCTTCTGGAACAGGTGCAGCAACACCTTCAGAAACAGGTGTAGCATCTCCTTCAGGAACAGAATGTGGAGAGGCTGCTGTTGCCATGCTGGGCTGAGATGACTCCCCCTGAGTTGATGCTGGGGAAGGTGAGTTGTTGGATGATGACTCAGAGGAGCTGGAGGACAAGGCTTGAGCCTGTGGTGCAGCAAAGGTAGGATCCCCTGCTTCATCGTCAGTTTCTTCATCTACCAGATGAAGACCTCTTCGTGGATTTGACTGAACTGGAGTGCGACCACCTCTGCCTCCTCTTCTTCCACCTCTGCTTCCTCTCCGGGGAGAGTTTTCTCCTCTCCGACGTTGTGGCACCGCAGTGTTCAGATCTGGAAAGGGGTTTGTGCGCTTGGACCGGCGCGTTGGAAACCTTCCGGCGGTGGAAGAGGGACCCGCAAAATCAAAATTGTCTGGGTCAATCGGGTTCAGCTCATCTCCGGGCTCAATGTAGCTGATTGGAACAGCTTCAAAGTTGATTGGATGAACGATGATGGCCAGATTTGGGTCTGCTGGTACAGGTGCTGCAGCATCGTTGTGGACATCACCATCGGCGGCTGGAGGAGGATTTCTAGGTGGGGATGCCATGATACAGTAGATAGAGGAAAAAAAAAAAGCTTCTTTGTGCTTTTGATTTTTGAGTGTGAGATTTTTGAGAAAAGAAGCACTAAATTTATAAGCCCTAATTTTTGCTGAAGAAAGAAAGAAAAATTGAAGTGGAGAAGGTGAAGAAGTGGTGTCCGTTTTTCTTGGGGAGAGTGTGATTAAGGAGAATAAAATTTCCTTGGCAGTTTAAAGCAGAATGGTGACACATGGCACAATAAGGAGTGGACTTAGTGGAAAAATAAGGAATTAACCCATGTACCCATGACCCATATAAATAGGGATAATTCAATAAAAAAATGAAAATAAAACCGTAGCACTCATGAAATATTCACAAAAATAGAAAAACACATTTATTAATGATTAATAGTGAGAAAAATTTGCTGACAGGCATAGATACAATTATATATATATATTTATTTATTATTATTAATTTTTTTTTTTTTTTTTTTTTTTTTTTTTTTTTAAGATATATATATATAAACTCTTATTTTCAAGTCAAACAATTCACATGGAACATGATCAAGTGTTCAGTTTGAAGGTTCCTCAGTTACTAAGATATGACTATCAAAATAGAGGAGTTTGACTTATGTGAGTGTAGTTATTGGCTAAATGTTTACATGAAGCATGATCACGTTTCAAGGTGAAAGACTTCCAGTTACTGATTTAGAAAATAATACATCACAGTGAAGTCATTATTTAATGAAGCTAATGCTTCAGTAAATTGTGTTGCAGCTTAAGATATTTGATGAGGTGCTGCAACACGTTCCAGGACATGTTTATTGAGTACACATCCCGAGAGATTTTCTGAGTTTTGAAAACCTCTCATAATCTAATGCCTTTGTAAAGATGTCAGCCACCTGATCTTCTGTAGGAATGTACTTTAAGCACACAATATTTTTCTCAACTATATCACGAATAAAATGATGTTTAATATCTATGTGTTTAGTTCGTGAGTGTTGAACAGGATTTTTTGAAATGTCAATAGCACTTGAATTATCACAATATATGGTCAGGGTATCACTGGTTAACCCATAATCCCCCAACATTTGTTTCATCCAAATTAGTTGACCACAACACCCTCCAGCAGCTACATATTCTGATTCAGCTGTTGAAAGAGATACACAGTTTTGCTTTCTACTAAACCAAGAAACTAGATTATTCCCCAGAAAGAAACATGCACCTGAGGTGCTTTTTCTGTCACTAATATCCCCAGCCCAATCAGAATCACTAAAGCCTATCAAGTTTGTATTTGTGTCT